ATTGTTCTTAAAAAGGGTGTAATAAAAAATGAATAATAGATAGCAATTGTATAGCGCATATACCCACTCAACAGCAAGCTCTATGAGCCGTGCAATCTATAATATTACCTCAACAGATCATAGAACACTCAGAAACATTCTCGGCTTCCTGGGAAGCATACACAGTGCAATTAGTTGATTAAACTTTTCGAACTCTAACAAAATGTACAACAGAAAACCGATCAAAATACATTGTGATTGTTGCTTTAACATAAGATTTTCTCTTAATCTGAAAATGTGGCTTTGATCGTTCTTTCACTAGGTGTTCAACTTTTGATGTAATTGTGAATAAGCCTGTCCTTGTGGTTTCATTCCACAAGCACAATTTAGCAAAATTTGATCATTTTTTGGGGTATTACTAGGCTACTATGAAACAACGTTTAAAACACATAAACAAACACCAGCGGAAGTTGTCACAGACTAGAGCTATGGTAGGCCATGAGTAACTAAAAATATGTTTAAAAATTCAAGGCAACACCTCGGTTTTTAAAAAAATGGTGCGCGTCAGATGCACGTGCAGGCCGCACCAACACATAACTTAGATGCCAAAATCAGTTTACGAGCAGAACAATATAAGCTTATTACAACATCTATCTACCTACGGGCCGCTATTGGCCCCCGGGCCGTGAGTTTGAGGCCTTTACCCTATAGAGGGTCCTGACTCCTGGAACTAGTTACATATGCCCCAATAACTCAGTTTGTATTTACACTATGAGTAACTTAGGCACAACGTGAGTTCACTTCCAGCTTCCATTTTCTACTCTCAATTATCAGTTTTCTCTGCTACTTCATCATCATCCGGTGCCTTGCCGACTGGCGTGGGCGAACATGGACCTCCACTTCACTCTGTCTTGCGTTGCAGCGATGGTGTCTGTCGTTCTTGCTGTTCCCAGCCATAGATTTTTCCTTATTTCCATAGATATGAATTACAATATCCTAGACCTGGCACTGTATCATGACCGCCTCTCTTTGACCACACTATAGACCTGGCACTGTATCATGACCGCCTCTCTCTCTGACCACACTATAGACCTGGCACTGTATCATGACCACCTCTCTTTGACCACACTAAAGACCTGGCACTGTATCATGACCGCTTCTCTTTGACCACACTATAGACCTGGAACTATAGACCTGGCACTGTATCATGACCGCCACTCTTTGACCACACTATAGACCTGGCACTGTCTCATGACCGCCTCTCTTTGACCACACTATAGACCTGGCAGTGTATCGTGACCGCCTCTCTTTGCCCTCTACCTTCCTTGCACTGTGCCCACCATGAGAGCTACAAAATGACGCGGAAAACACAACAATTCTCGCTACACTTGAGTGGGCGAGCTACTTTATCCCCTTTGTCCTTCATTAACCAGAAAGGGTCAAACGGTGCACTATATGAAGTACCGGAACTACGCCAGGTTGCACCGTCATGGATGTTGTGACAAGTACAATGCAATAATACATGTATACCAACTTCATATAATCAATTACTCTCCTAAATCAATGTTACTTAGGCTTACACAACAGGTTTTTACAGACAGAGCTTGTGGCAGCATCACAACACGGTGATTTCTCCAAACTGAAGGGAATTAGAGAGGAGGAGGGGGAGGAGGAGGAGGTGGTGGCATGAAGGGGGGGGGGAAAAGAAAAAGGAGTAGAAGGGGCGAGGAGAGGGTTCATGCTATTTGCATCATGATGACGATATAGGTATCGTGTACCCTTATAATCATCGTTTTGCGAATGTGATATATATATATATATATATATATATATATATATATATACAAGTCATGTATTGCGATTTGTGAATGCTCAAGATTCCTTCGATGAAACAGAATTCTTCGAAATGCTCAGATAAACCAAAAACCAAAAAAAAGATGAATTTGTTACACCTAACTTTTCTCTCTCTCTCTCTCTCTCTCTCTCTCTCTCTCTCTCTCTCTCTCTCTCTCTCTCTCTCTCTCTCTCTCTCTCTCTCTCCCTCTCCTTCTCTCTCTCTCCTTCTCTTTCACACGCTTTCTCTCTCTTTCAAAACCCGCCCATCCGGCCAAAATATAATCATATCGGCTCACTCTTATTGCATTTGCCATTTCTTTATTTTTCGCCCTTATTGAACGATCGATCAAGGGAGACAACTTGAGGGCATCTGGGGCTAATGTATTGTGGTATATAGGATTAATCCATAACGAACTCCGGGAGAACATGAAGATTGAAGTTTTGTTTTGTAAAGAAGGTGATAAAATAAATTGTAATTA